GGTATTTAAATATTTGTTCACAAGAGAGTGCTATGTAAGGCTGTAACATGCTGCTGGGGTTACCCAGAGCTATTTTACCTCTCTACCTGAACAAGCATGGATTTTGCTGGTGATTAGAATGTGAGAGCTCCCTGCCACACAAGTCTGTCTTCCTCACCAGCAAACTCCTCAAGGCTCTTCCAGCCCAAGCCTTGCCTAGCAGGTAATAATCCATGAACTCTAGCCGCGGAGCTCCTCTGATGTTTCTCTGGAGTGCCCAACCCCTACCACTATGCATTTATAGAAGGTATGAGGTTTGCTGCTCTGTTAAAGACTCCGTATATCACAGCTTATTAATTTAACGGCAGTAAATACACCCTTCCCTTCACACACACCACAGAATTGGATTATAGTAAAAATAAAACCAGTTTATTAACAAAAAAGCATGTATTAAGTCAGAGGTTCTCAAACTCGGGGGCATGCAGAATGTATTCTGGGGATGTGTGAGAAGCTTTTAGGGGGGAAAAACCTTACTGCACACATTCAGAGCTGGGCAGAGCAGCAGTAGCTGCTGACTGGGCACCCAGAGGGGCATGGGTGTAAACTACTACAGACACAGAAGGGGAGGGGCATAGGCACTGACTCTGTGGGTGCTCCGGGGCTGGAGCACCCACAGGGAAAGATTAGCAGGTGCTCGGCACCCACCAGCAGCCAAGCCCCCCGCCCCTGCCTCGCCTCCTCCCCCCAAGCGTGCCATGTCCCCGCCCCTCCCCCCTCCCAGCGCTTCCCGCCCCCCTGATGCCTAACAGCTGTTTGGTGGTGCTTAGGACTTTTCTGGAGGGAGGGGGAGGAGTGGGGAGGTGGCGTGCTCAGGGGAGGAGGCGGAGAAGGGGCGGGGACGTGGGAGGAAGGGGTGGAATGGGGGCAGGGCAAGGGCAGTGCAGGGGCGGGAAGAGGCAGGACAGGGGCAGGGCAGGTCAAGCATTTACCGGGCAGAGGGGAAGTTGATGCCTATCGGTGGGAACCACGGTACTAAGTGATATCAAGTAAAAGAAAGGTAGAGATGGTTACAAGCAAATGAAAGTGAAAACATCCATCTAAAACTTAATCTAGAAAGATAGTTTTTGTTCAAGATGGTTTCTTTTACCCCAAGTCTCCTTTCCAGCTTTTTGCGGGCTAGCACCCATCACAGAGATCATAGAATCGTAGAAGTATAGGCCTGGAAGGAACCTCAATAGGTCATCTAGTTCAGTCCCCTGCACTCAAGGCAGGGCAAGTAATAACTAAACCATTCCTGACAGATGTTTGTTTGTCTAACCTGTTCTTGAAAACCTCCAGTGACAGATTCCACAATCTCCTTAGGCAATTTATTCCGGTGCTTAACTACCTGACCGTTAGGAAGTATTTCCTAATGCCCAACCTAAACTGCCCTTGCTGCAATTTTAAGCCCATTGCTTCTTGTCCTATCCTCAGAGGTTAATGAGAACAATTTTTCTCCTTCCTCCTTGTAACAACCTCTTATGTATTTGACAATTTATGTCTTCACCCCAGTTTTTTCTCCAGACTAAACAAACCCAAGTTTTTCAATCTTTCCTCATAGGTCATGTTTTTAAGACCTTTAATCATCTTTGTTGCTCGTCTCTGGACTTTCTCCAATTTGTCCACATCTTTCCTGAAATGAGGCACCCAGAACTGGACACAATATTCCAGTTGAGGCCATATCCGTGCAGAATAGAACGGAAGAATTACTTGTCTTACTTACAGAACTCCTGCTAATACATCCCAGAATGATGTTTGCACTTCCCCCCCGCCCCCCAACAATGTTACATTGAGCCATTTAGCTTGTGATCCACTATAATGCTCACATTCCTTTCCATAGTAATTCTTTCTAGGCGGTCATTTCTCATTTTGCATGTGCAAGTGATTGTTCCTTGCTAAGTGAAGTACCTTGCATTTGTCCTTATCAAATTTCATCCTACTTACTTCAGCCCATTTCTCCAGTTTGTCAATCATTTTTAATTTTAATCCTGTTCTCTAAGCACTTGCAACCCCCTCCCAGCTTAGTATTGTCCACAAACTTTAAGTTTACTCTTTATGCCATTATCTTCATAAATTATTTAGATATTGAACAGAACCAGATCCAGGACAGATCCACGTGGAACCCCACTTGATGTGCCCTTCCAGCTTGACTGTGAACCACTGATTACTTTATGGGAATAGTCTTCCAACCAGTTATGCACCCCCCTTATCCATCTACCACTTGCCCCCTATCCATAAGGCTTATTACCCTGTCAAAGCTATTAAGTTGGTTTGATGTGATTTGTTCTTGACAAACGCATGTTGACTGTTACTTATCACCTTATTATCTTCTAGGTGTTTGCAAATTGCTTGATTTGCTGCATTATCTTTCTAGGTACTGAAGTTAAGCTGACGGGTCTAATTCCCCAGGTTGTCCTTATTTCCCTTTTTTTTTTTTTAGACTGGCACTGTATCTGCTGTCTTCCATAAGTTTTTTCAAGACAATTGCTAATGGCTCAGATATCTTCTCAGTTACTTCCTTGAGTGTTCTAGGAAGTTTTTCATCAGGCCCTATTTGAAGACCTCTTACTTCTCTAAGTAATTTTTACTTGTTCTTTCCCTATTTTAGATTCAGATCCTACTTCATTTTCACTGTTAACTATGTTAGACGTGATCACTAACAATCTTTTTGGTGAAAACAAAGGTATTCAGCACTTCTGCCACCTCCACATTTTCTGTTGTCTTTCCCCACTCATGTTTCCTTGTTAGCCTTTGACTCTAGCTAGTTTAATCTCATTTTGTGCTTTGGCCTTCCTAAACTTGTCCTTACCTGATTGTGTTGACTTTTATGTGCAAAATAATGCCCATTGGAAAACATAACCCCAACTATACATACAAAATGATGGGATCTAATTTAGCTGTTACCACTTCAGAAAGAGATCTTTGAGTTATTGTGGACAGTTCTCTGAAAAATCCACTCAATATGCAGTAGCAGTCAAAAACTAACCATGTTAGGCATAATTAGGAAAGGGATAGATAATAAGACAGAAAATATCATAATACCACTAGATAAATCCATGATACACTCACATCTTGAATACTGTATAGAATTCTGGTCAACCCATCTCAAAATATATTAAAATTGGAAAAGGTACAGAGAAGGGCAACAACAGTGATTGAGGGCATGGAACAGCTTGTGTATGAGGAGAGATTAAAAAGACTGGGACTTTTCAGCTTGAAAAAGAGACTGAGGGATATGATGGACTTCTCTAAAATTGTGACTCGGGTGGAGGAAAAGTGTTATTTACTCCTTTATATAATGCAAGAACTAGAAGTCACCCAATGAAATTAATAGGCAGCAAATTGAAAACAAAAGGAAGTACTTCACACAACACAGTTGAATTTGTTGCCAGGGGATATTGTGAAGGCCAAAACTATATAATGGGGTTCACAAAAGAACTAGATAAATTCATGGAGGATAGGTCTATCAATGGCTATTAGCCAAGATGGTCAGGGATGCAACCCTATGCTCTGGGTGTCATTAGGCCTCTGATTGCCAGAAACTGGGAGTGGATGACAGGGGATGGATCACTCAATTGCCTGTTCATTCCCTCTGAAGCACCTGGCATTGGTCACTGTCAGAAGACAGGATACTGGGCTAGATGGACCATTGGTCTGACCTAGTATGGTCATTATATTCTATATTCATCCTTTTGTAATTTGACCTAGTTTTCACTTTTTATAGAACTTTTTTTGAGCTTCAGATCATTGAAGATCTCTTGGTTAAGTTAGAGTGGTCTCTTGCTATACTTCCAATCTTTCCTACATTGGGGGATGGTTCTGTTCTTGTGCCCTTGATGTCTCTGAAAAACTGCCAAGTCTCTCAACTGTTTTTCTCCTTAGACTTGCTTCCCATGATATCTTACCTACCAACTCCATGAGTTTTCTAGTCTGTCTTCTTGAATCCATTCTTTAGTCAGCTGTTTTCCCTCCTACCATCCCTTAGAATCATGAACTCCTCATTTCATGATCACTTTCACCTCACTTTCAAAGTCTCAAGCAATTCCTCCGTTTCTCAAAATCAAATCTAGAACAGCCTCTCCCCTAGTTGCTTTCTCCACCTTCTGAAATAAAAAATAGTCTCTAATGCATGCCAAGAACTAGTTGGATAATCTGTGCTGTATTTTTCCAACAGATGTCTGGGTAGTCTCCTTCTGCCTCTTTCCCCACCCAAGTCCTGTGCTTTGGATGATTGTTAGTAATTTTTAAAAGCCTCATTCACCTATTCTTCTTGGTTAGGTGGTCTATAGTAGACCCATAACATCACCATTGTTTTTTATTCCCACCCAAGGACTTTGAACAAGTCTGTCTCCTATTTCCAGCTCAACCTCAGTGCAAGTGTATACCTCTGATATACAAGGCAACACCATTTCCCTTTCCCCCCGTCTGTCCTTCCTTTGATGTAACTGGTAAACTGAGGCATACTGTTTCTTTGTGAGCAGAGGATCTGGTAATTCTGTGAGTGTCCACGGGACAAGGGGCTGGGCACTTGGGCGCTGCCCAGAGGACTCGGGGTTGTGGGGTGGACTATATCGCTAATCTGCAAAAGGACAGTCGAGCTTGAAAGGTGAGTGCTTGTGTTGCTTGTGCCTAGTGGAGTCAGGGAGCTGACTCCTGGCAGGCACAGACAAGACTTCCTCATGCTAAGGGCATGTGGTAGTGAGACTCACAACCTGGGTAGTCCAGGGAAGCATCCTAGAACGATACCAGGGAAGATCTTTTGTGTTATTAAAACAAGCCCAACATTTTAAAAACCATTCCTTTACTTACTAGCCTTGGCTTTTGTTCTTCAGTATCTTATTTTTCCTCTGGATATTTCTAGACAATGCCTAATTATGCCTTTTCTTCCACTGTCTCGATTTCAATTTTTTGTGACCTAACGAAGATTGAATTATTTACCTTGAAAGCAAATTGTTTTAAATATTTTAAAAGCTCTTTAAGAATCTAATATTTTATGATCTTCTCCAGGATTTTTCCATGTCGTGCACAGCCATCAGACTACGTCAATTTATAGATCCTACACCCTACCTACCTCCAGGGTAAAGTATCTGGACACAGAAAAGTCACATGTGCAAAAACATCAGGATGTCAGTGATCAACCATGGGTAGGGTTGCCAACCCTCCCGGATTGTCCTGGAGTCTCCCGGAATCAAGCTCAATCTCCCCGTGGCTATTCAAATCAATCCAGGAGATTTTAATAGGCCAAAAGTCTGGTCAGCGGCACAGCAGGGCTAAGGCAGGCTCCCTACCTGCCCTGGCTCTGCGCAGCTCCCAGAAGTGGCTGGCATGTCTGGCTCTTAAGTGTAGGATGGCCAGGAGGTCTCCGTGCACTGCCCCCACCCCAAGCGCCGTCTCCACAGCTCCCATTGGCCAGGAATTGCAACCAATGGGAGCTGTGCAGGTGGTGCCTGCAGGCAGGGGCAGCGCACAGACCTGCGCCGCCCCTCTGCCTAGGAGCCAGAGGGATGTGCTGGTCACTTCTGACAGCAGCCAGAGGTAAACGCCGCCCGCCCGGAGCCCGAACCTCCTCCTGCACCCCAACCCCCTGCCCCATCCTTGAGCCCCCTCCCAAACTTCCTCCCAGAGCCTGCACCCCCACCCACACCCCAACTCCCTGCCCCAGCCCAGTGTGGGTGGGGGAGAGTGAGTGATGGAGAGATGGGGATGGAGTGAACAGGGGTGTCTCTTCAGAGAAGGGGCAGGCAGGGGTGTGACCTCAGAGAGGGGGGCAGGGCAAGGGTGATTGGGTTTGTGCAATTAAACAGTTGGCAACCCTAACAATGGTACAAATATTCTGTTTAAAATATCTGTCTTGTAGTTTAGGAAAGGATCTTTGTCAAAATAGCTTGCCCAACACACATTTTACAAGTAAAGGCATTGAGTCTGTTTGCAAGTTAAATACTGTATCTGCAGATTTTTAGTTTTAAGCCATTAATTTCAGTGCGAGTTTCATGTAAGACTTCACAATTAACAAATTCTATTATATTCTTCAAGTATGTTCCTAAATACAGTCCGTACATGCAATGCATGATCAAAACTGTCCTTGTTTAGAATTTCTCAGTCTTGGATTCATCTGCCAAGCAGACTACTCCCACCTCCTTTATGTCCTGTCTGGAATTAAACATACAAGGAATCAACACCTCCAGCTAACTGACTGGATTCCATGGTCCCACCCTTTCTCTTATGATCTGCATATAGAAAAATGTTACTTTATCTTGGGTAAATCTTGCCAAGCATTGATATTTTTTTTAATACAAAATGTCGTTCTTTTCTTCCCCCTTGCCTATTCTACTCCCCACCCTCTCTATTCTTACCAGCCACTATGAGTAACCTTTTCAAAAGCATCTATTGGGTTGACCTCACCCAGCTACAGTAAGGTAAAAACTACCTGTTTGTTGTCTCCACTAGCATTTTATAGTGAGATAATTAACAAAAGTTAGCTATCCTGCTGGTGGGGGAACCACACACACTTTCAGGCAGAAGATATTTGCAATGTTGGTGTAGTCATGTTGGTCCCAGGATATTAGTGAGATAAGGTTGGTGAGGTAATACCTTTTTATTGGACCAGCTTCTGTTGGTGAGAGAGACAAGCTTTTGAGCTTCACGGAGCTTTTACAGGTCTGAGAAAAGTACTCAGTGTCTCAGCTAAATACAAGGTGGAACAGATTAAGTGAAACACTTCTTTCAAGATCCATGGGTCCTACACATGCCTATCACAACATGTGGTGTATCTCATCTTGGGCACGACATGCCCAAGTTATAAGCATGTGGGTGAAACAAGACAATTGCTACATTCTCAAATGACACATACACAGGGCTGCTGGAACAATTTGTATAGTGGGGGTGCTGAGCGCCTGTATATGATGGAAATCACTTCAAGCAATAGGGTGCTGCTGCACCCCCAGCAGCTGTTGTTCCAGCACCTATGCGCACACTGAAAAATGACAAGACAAAAACACCATCCCCTGTGGATGAACACTTTTTTCCCCACAAAGTAATCACTCTATATCTGACCCCTTGGATACTCATTCTCAAAGGAAACCTGCACAACACCCACAAAAGATGAGCCCAGGAGGCATAAATTCAGAACTTTGCCAAACACTGAAAATCATGGACTCCAAGGCACTGGATTTATGGCTTATTACCACAATCTGCAATCCTCCTTTGTCCTACAACTGCAGAAGTGTTAATTGCCTACATCATTTTGAATGGTCTCTTGCATCTTATATTAACTCCTTACACTTAATCTGTTCAACCTTCTGTTTAGCTGTGACACTCCAAGCTTGAAGAGCTCTGTGTAAGCTTGAAGGCTTCTTTCACCAAAAAGATTACCCACCTTGTCTCACAATTAGTTATTAACAAGTTAGGTACCTATGAAAATTTCACCTTGTCCCTACTGCACCTCAAGTCAAACCCTGTCCTGATTCAGCTTCCGTGTTTCCAGCCACTCCCATATCATAAGTCCTGCAGTTACTCTACATACTACCTTTTGTGCTACAAGATGGGATAAAGCAGTTTGCAAACTGATTCAGTTTATGCTTTATTTCCTAATGAAATGTAATGTGTGGGGCGGAATGTCTGCTGATAGCTTTCATTGTTGTAACTCTCAGGTCAAGAAATTCTGTCTCTTTAATATGTTTCTTATATCTACTCTTCTGCCTGCAACGCCACTTATTTTGTGTTACTTACTAGCACTGTTATTCGTCAAGGAAAGGACATTCAAGGGTTCTATCCTGGGCAACTAGGACGGGTACATAAGGCATGCATGCCTGAAATAGCTCCAGGGTAAGAGAATAGCTTTATACAACTCTTCCTCAGAGAACCTTATTCTGAAATTCTTATTTTAAGTTCACTGTGGGGAGTGGTAGTCCCTTCCTGTGGTGGCCTGCAGATATTCCTTTTCAACCTTGACATGTGAGACTAAGGAGAACCCAGGAAGAGAGGAAATGGTCTACGGGTCAGAGCACAGGACTGGGAGTCAGGAAATCTGGGTTATATTTCTGGTTTGGCCATATTTTGTGTGTGTGATATCTTAGTTCATCAGTGTTTGGGAATCCTGAATGAAAGCTGCTAGAAAGTACAGATGATTCTTCATTTTACCAGCACTTTTAATCCTTAGCTTCTCACCTGAGATTGCTAACCAAGGTACTAAACAAAGCAGAATTTTTTATTGAAGTAGAACAGGTTTTTTTTACAGCAGAATTAATGAATGCACTGGTTAACTGCAATATTCGCAGACCCAGGCCCTAGTTTCAAAAGTGTGGTGAAGCCAATTGAACAAAACTAAATTATGAAGGCTTTACTGTATGTAGTCAAGCTGTTAATACCTATTAGATTATAACTGCATTATACTGAGTGCTCTATTTCAGCAGGAGATTAGAAAGAACATTTATGTTGGCTACCCTTATGGTTAGTCAGTGCTAGTCACATACCATGTGTCAGCATGAGATTACAAAACTATTTATGCCTTTCATTTAGACCTTTCATAAAACTGCACCCAGCTCCAGTGCAGCATGAAGTTGAAACTCAGTACCAACATGACTTTGATAATTTAACTCTTCAGGGGCATGTCCTTTTTCAAGGGACAATGAAGAAGGCAATGAATGACTGGTACAAGCAAACCACGTACAAAGAAGAATTTGCACTGCCATTTTACAATATGGGTAAGTAGGCTTTAGTAGCAATGTAAATCTTGTCTTTTGCTAGGAAGACTCACCCTAGTCTATAGCCCTTAGAAAATGTTTAACATATTCAATGGATTAACTAATCCTTACAGCATCCCTGTGAGAAGTTTTGTCCTCATTTTATGATCGGGAAAAACTTAGACGCCCTATCTACACTAGGTAAAGAAGAGACAAAATGTATGTCCTGTTCCAAAGAGGTAGGCAGAAGGCAACCAATGAACTGGAACATGGCAAATCACATGTATAGATTTCAATCTGTATACAGCTGCTCAAATGCACTCCAATTAGATGTAACAAACAGTTCAATTTTAGGTTTCTAAGTTATTAGAAGTAACCACATTACTAAAACACACTTGATCTGATCTAGTCCACTTAAAGCTGTGTAATATGCAACCTATGAGCATGTTGATTCATTCTGGGATATCTGAAGACAAGAGACATTTCTGGGATATCTGAAGACAAGAGACATTTCAAATAAGGAGAGTCCTGTACTGAATTTAGCAAGTACAAAGCAGTTGGTCACACTTCCAGTCTGTGTAGTAATTATATATATATTTTTAATTTAATCTTTATTTGTATTATTGTGGCACTGAGAAACCCTGGTCATGGACCAGGACCCTGTTATGCTAGGTTCTGTAAAAACCCAGAACAAAAAGACAGTCCCTGACCCAAAGAACCTATGATCTAAGTATAACAGACAAGTGCTGGAAACTGATGTATTCCCCATGGTTCTAAGAGAACAATAATGCAATATTGATCTGCATGACAGGAATGGTCTCAGTGGCCTAGCCCTTGTCAAGTTTTTGGTAGGCCTCATAGCAAAAGAGAGTGTTAAGGAGGGTTTTGAGGGAGTTAGCTTTGTGGCTGTATATGAGGAGCTTCTCCCTACTATGAGGGGCAGCCTGGGAGAAAGCTTTCCAGTTTAAGGTGCGCTTTTTTTTTGGTCCAACTTTATTATGCATTAAATGTGCTTTATTTGAGTTAGAATTATGGATAAATAACTAACTATGCCCCAAAGCCACTATTAGGGAACATTCTGGCATGAAAACAACTTAAATATCCAGGGAAAGACACTATTATTGTTTTTAGAAAGGAGCTATGAGATTGAAGGTCCCCTCTTGTGGTACAGACCAGCTCCCATGGGAAGGAAGAATTTCCCCCTCCCCAGACAGACAACCTCTAAAGGGTGCTTTTGATAAGCACTGGCCAACAACTTTGAATTTGCTGGGCCTTTTGTAAGCCTCAACAGCCCAGTATCATGGCCCAGTTCTGATTTGGATAATTGTTGTTTCAATTTGAATTCCAGCTGCAGAGTCATATGGAGATAATATTCTCTCTTTTGTCCTACATGATTCCTAACAAAACGAAACCATAAGAGCAGCCAGATAGTGCAAAGCCGCATGAAGCAAGGAGCAGTGTTAATATGGCTGATGGAAACAGGCAGCTGGCAAGTTTAAGTGGGAGTAGTAATAGCTCAGAGAATGAGGGCAGACAAGTTATCGATTTCTTCTAGCATCCACCTTGTGCTATTCAAACAGGATAGGAGGCATAGACTCACACCTAAAGGCCTTCTACTGCACTCAAGTGTAGTGAAAACTAGAAGCGTGCACATGCTCTCCCTCCTTCCTTTACTCTAGGTTTTTTCTTTGATTTGGTTAGAGAAAATATTACAGAAGCTGCTAACTTTCAAATCAAGGCCTTATTTTCTCCATTTTAACTATGAAAAACTGTTAAGTCCTTTTATTAAAATTTATGTAAATTAAAAATTTACTTAATTTTAATTAAAATTAAAAACCTCTACAGTTCCCCCAAAGAATTGTTCTGGCTTCAGAAGAAAAAACAGACAGGACCTCTTGATATCTGCTAGAGGCCTGCACCCAAAAGCCCAATTTGTTTTCTACACCTAACAAGTTAGAATCATTCAACTTTTTGCAGATAATTGGTAAAACTTCTCAGAGCAATTGTGACCTGACAAACTGATCAATGTACTCTGGTACCCTACCTCCATAAAGTGCCCACTTAATAATTGGCAGAAAGTGAACCCTTCCTTTTACCCTACAGTAACACCTTCCCTACTTACTAATGCTCTTGGCAAACAGTGTTGGGCTGGTGGCTGCCTTTTTTTTTTTAAAAACACATCTTCAACATCTCCCTCTTGCTGCAGCTTGCTTATTGTGGACTAACAGATTGTTTAGGAGGATTTCCCCCACTGGAGTAGGCTAATTGAGGGGAGAACAACAGCATAAAGATGCAGAGAAGGTGGTGCTTTTTTTTTTTTTTAGGAAAGTTGCATGATGCTCCCTGTACTTAAACACACCATGGCAAATATGCTGCTGTGACCAACGCTGCAGGTAGTTCCTGGATATCTACTTTCCATTCTTGCTGTTGTGGTGTTCCTTAGAACAGTTAGTCACAAGAATAGCTCATGCATATAGGGCTACAAGCATAGAAAGCAGCTTGCCAACCAACCTGTGCAATTCTGCTTTCACAATATTCAGCTCAGGTGAGAGAACAAACTCTAGCCTTGCAGCGTGACTATGTGGATAGTGCTTGGGGTATGGATGTCCATTAAAGAATGGGAAGGAGAGCAAAAATGAATTAAAAAAAAACAAAAAGGCTAACCCCTCTCCCCAAAAACACACACATGGACAGCACAGGACAGGTTGTGGTGACATACTACTCCAAAAGCTCATTGTTGGGGGAGACTCCAGGAAAAGAGGCTGGGAATCATAAGGGTAACAGGAAAGCTTTAAAAATACAGTATTCCTAAATTCAAATCACATGGATTGAGAGAAGAAAAATGCTCTATTTTTAATTCCAGACCATGATGAGGATAAATACACACCAAGAACTGCTCCTGGACCACTGACAATCTGGAGAAGCATTGCTGATCCAAAAAAAAGTAACCTGCCCTTGCTTGTGAGAAGTATTTCAGCTGAGCTTTAAGAAAATAAAAGCAACCCATTGACGTTAATCCCATTTACATGAGACTTTCAGAAGTCTGCTTCTGTTAAGCTATACTGTATCATTTTACAGTGTAGTTTGTGCTGGTGATGCTGCTTGGAAACTTTAATCAAGTTTTATCTCTGAATATATGGATTACTTTGTACAATGGAAACAACAGTTGGGAATCAAGATACTTAATTCCCCAGTACATGTTCTTGTTAGCTGTGCATTTTGGGAATATAGTAATCTTATTTAGTTACATCAAGGGGAGAATAGTCTATCCATGGGGAGGACAATTGCAGAGACCACTCCCCAGCAACCACCCCTGTTATTAGTGGGGAGCATCCCCAGCACCCAAGGCCTTTAGGAGTCCTTCCCTGTCTCACATGGCTGTGACAAGTAACAGCACTGGCTGTGTGCTGGCAGTTGAAGAAACCTCAAAGGTTGTAAAATAAAGACAATCAGCCATTTTATTAAAAAAATAAATTGTTCTTCCACCAAAGAGGGAGCTTTGTTGCAATACATGATACTCTTGAAATCTAACATTATGCACCTACAAATTCAGCTGTTGTAAGAAGCAATGGAAAGCTTAATATAGGGCCCACTTACCCCATTCTCCTATGAAGCAACTCAAGGGAGGGTGCCAAAGCTGCAGGAAAATAGAAGTGAACATAGATCTTCTTCTACAACATTCCCACAAGAGGGGCTTTAGCAGCTGAGAAGGCCTCCAAATCCTGCCTAACCCCCAGATTGCTTAGTCCAGCACCAATCAGGGCTTTCTAGATAGATGGCTGCTCAATACAGCTCTACTGCAACCTTCTCTGGCAGCACTGGCCTGAATGCACAAAAGGAGCTAGGCACTTAAGTGTCAGTTTTGGGAACACAGAACTACACAAGTCTCCTGCTGAAACCCTCTAGGTACCTAAACTCACCTGGCCCTTAAAAAACCCAAACTTTTTTTTTGGCAGTAAAAAGTCTCTAGGCATGTATCTTTCTGCCTCTGGGCATGTACACTGCTGTGTCCTTGTGTGGTCAGTTGCCTCCTCTTGTGAAATCAGTTGCAATAACATTTACGGTCTCAAAATTCTTCCTCCTTCCCCAAAATGAAATTCATGCAGACTAAAATCAAGTGTTTCAACTCCCACTAACTTTTACAGGATGGTTTAATTCAATCTGCAGGGCTAGTAAAGACTTAATTCCTCCGCACTGCAAAAAATACTTGTATGGCAGTAAAGTTTACAGCAGTTTAAGGAGGCAAGACTTTTTGCTTCTCAAGTAAGATGAGGAAACAAGAGGCCATAGTGCAGTCTCTATTGTGAAAGTGCAACTTACAAATGTAGATTTTTATTACATAACTGCACTCAAAAATAAAACAATGTAAAACTTTAGAGCCTACTAGTTCACTCAGTCCTACTTCTTGTTCAGCCAGTCACTAAGACAAACATGTTTGTTTACATTTGCAGGAGATAATGCTGTCCGCTTCTTCTTTACGTCACCTGAAAGTGAGAACAGGCACTCTCATGGCACTGTTGTAGCTGATGGTGCAAGGTATTTATGTGCCAGATATGTTAAACATTTGTATGCCCCTTCATGTTTTGGCCACCATTCCAGGGGACATGCTTCCATGCTGAAGATGCTCATTTAAAAAAAAAAAAAATGCGTTAATTAAATTTGACTGAATTCCTTGGAGAATTGTATGTCTCCTGCTCTGTGTTTTACCCACATTGTGCCATCTATTTCATGTTATAGCAGTCTTGGATGATCCAGCACGTTATTTGTTTTAAGAACGCTTTCACTGCAGATTTGACAAAATGCATGGAAGGTACCAATGTTGAGATTTCTTAAGATGCTACAGAACTCTACTCACGATTTAAGAATTTGAAGTGCCTTCCAAAATCTGAGAGGGACGGGGTGTGGAGCATGCTTTCAAAAGTCTTAAAAGAGCAACACTCCGATGTGGAAACTACAGAACCTGAACCACCAAAAAAGAAAATCAACTTTCTGCTAGTGACATCTGACTCAAATGATGAAAATGAACATGCGCTGGATTGCACTGCTTTGGATTGTTATCGAGCAGAACCCATCATAAGCATGGACACGTTCTCTGGAATGGTGGTTGAAGCATGAAAGGATATAGGAATCTTTAGCGCATCTGGCATGTAAATATCTTCTGACGCCAGCTACAACAGTGCCATGCGAATGCCTATTCTCACTTTCAGGTGACATTGTAAATAAGTAGTAGGCAGCATTATCTCCTGCAAATGTAAACAAACATGTTAGTCTTAGCGACTGACTGAACAAGAAGTAGGGCGGAGTAGACTTGTAGGCTCTGAAGTTTCACAGTGTTCTTTTTGAATGCAGGGTTTTTTTGTATCCAATTCTACATTTATAAGTTCAACTTTCATGATAGAGATCGCACTACAGTACTTAAGTTAATTGAAATACTAGTTTATTTTTACAGTGCAATTATAATAAAACCAAAGTGAGCACTGCACACTTTGTATTCTGTGTTGTAATTGAAGTCAATATTTGAAAACATTCAAAAATATTGATAAATGGTATTTGTTTATCACTATTAAGCACGATTAACTTTAATTGGACGATTAAGCTTTTTAATCACTTGACAGCCCTAATAGTTTTCCTTTTATAATTTCTACAGTGCCTTTGCCTAGTTGTGAAGTCAAAAACAGTTCTAATTACTGTCACAGAAGAAATTTAAAGTGGCACCTAAAGATTAAAACCTTAAACATATGAATAAACATGATTCCTTCTAATTAGCAAGAGATTTACTTTACTTTAATATGCACTCAAAGTAGAGAAGTGCAGAAAATTGTTTTAAAATTAATTTAAAAAAATTAAATCAGAATAGTTTGTAACGGTAAATGAACTTTATACAATATCAAATTTAGTTTTTTGCACATTTTCTGTAAACTTGTCTTAAGAGCCCCTTGCACACTCCCAACAACTCAAATCACAACTTTTTTTGAACAAAAACGGTCTCACACGGCGTTTAGACAAGGTTTATAGCATTATAAAATCATCAGAATCCCTCTTTAATCACTCACTACAACAGCAGCCATAAAGAATACAACATATTTAGGAGTACAAATAATGAGGATGTAAAACCATTTGTGCAAAACTGCATTATTTTTACTGGTTAAGATTTCAGGGAAGTAACACCGCCAGAAGCATGGATACGACAATCAAGACAAAGTCAGGAAAATAATGTTACCTTCCATTTTCAAACATCAAGGATTATGTTATGAAGTAAATACTAGATGATAAAGAAAAGTCTGGTGGCACCATGTATAACAGTAATGGCAAGTGTCCTGGAGATATTGCCAGTTGGATAGAGAGCTGATATAGGTAGAAGTCAAAGTCTTTCAGGAGTAGCAATCAGTTTGAGAGACCAACTCTAGCATTTCTTTCCATGCAAGATCTATCCTTCCAACATCTTCACTTTGTAGGCTACTAATAATACATGTAAGACTAAGCAGTCTTATTCAGGAGTGTGCTTTCTTCCACGCATCTGAAATCTTTAAAACATGTGGATCATTGACTCTCTGGATTTCCCTACTCCAATCCATTTAACTGCAAAAAAGGAAAGGATAACAAAATAGTTTGCACTGTTTTACCATAGAGGAATTAAAACTCAAAGCATGACATTCTGGTAAAGGGGGAAAAAAGTTCTATGGCTGATGTAGAATAATATGTTGCACTGATAGCAATTATCAATTCTATTAGAGAATGACATTTTGCATTTCTGTAGCAGCACCACATTCACAGATCCTGAAGCACTCTGAAGTGCCTGACCTTGTGCCACTGACTTCAAATGGAGAATGGCCTAAAATAATAAATTCTCAAAACCTTTCTAAAATATGGAAATATCAGTTTTACAGATGGGGAAACTAAGCATATAGAAGTTAAGTGATTTGCTGAAAGGTAACATTCTGTAACAGAAGCAGGAATACAACTCCCATCTCCCAATGTCTAGTCCTATCCTTTGATCATAAAACCATCTTTTCTCAGAGTAAATAATTCAGTACTAGTTTAGGACAATATGCTGCCCTCCTTAGGCTGATTTAGTGTCTTACTTCTGGGTAAGTCCCAATGAAGTCAATAGACTACTCACAGAAGAAAATATTGATAACTAAACATAAGGGTGGCAGAACTGAATCCTTAAGAGTATAATAAGTGACTAATCAAATATTGCATTCAGCTTTTCTGTTTTCCAAGTCCTACAAATAGGATTTTTCCTATTGCAAACAAGCGTTTTTTAAAACAAACATGCAAACAGAACAGTGTGCATGTCAGTACTCAAAATCAGTTGGCAAATTATGATAACCCAGCACTGCAAATTTAGACTACACACATATACTGAAAACATTTTAGAGGTTGATCCTTTTAGCTTCTGCAGCTAAAATGAGGCTCAGCATTAAAATGTCAAAGTACAGTACTTGAAGCAGGAAAGTTTGCTTTACTTACCAGGAATGCCAAGCTCCATTTCTATAAACCGAACATAGTTCTGTGCATTTACAGGCAGTTCATCAAATGTTCTTGCATTTGATATGTCTGTGTCCCATCCTGGGAATGTCTCATACTTAACCTCTACTTTATTTAAGACTTCCTGGTTTGCTGAGGAAACAAAGAATAAGTACTTATACAGTGAATATTAAATTATACAGAAGTTCTGTATATTTTTACAGAACCAGTCATACAGCTAGAAGTCATTTGATCAAGCATCTTGTTTTACTGATGGTGACCTCAGAAAAGGAGCTTGCTTAATATTGCCTGAGCTTGAGAAATACTGCAAGCACAATAGTGTGAAATGACCCATAGTTTAAAAGTGGTGAAATAATGGGAATTCTCTTAATCAGGAGTAGATTTCAATGGCTCTCCCTGATATGGAGTCAGGCATTGGCCTACATTATTTTAAAACATGGGTGTCTATTGTTCAAGAATCCTTAAGAGCTTATTACATAGTAGAAAATTCTCTTATGTTGGAATCTAACCCACTCTAACACAAATTCAGATTTAATGTGCCCACCATCCTCTATATACCAGTATTTCACAACAGCACTGGTATTAAAAACAGACTTGTATATTGTTGCAAAATGTTGGGACTTATCCTCCACTTCGAGTGAGACACATTGCAACTGAGATCAGCTTAGGCACTTGAGCTAGTAGCCCTCTGGATTAAATGGGAGAACACTGTAGGTGAGACATTCTCAGTGAAGAGCCCTCATCTCAGAAACTCACTTACCCTATGAAGTTAAAAGAATCCAAGTCTGTTAACATTTAGAACACACTGCAACACTCTTATTTTCTATATGTGAGCCCAGCTCCAGGACCTGATGGTATTCACCCAAGAGTTCTGAAGGAACTCAAATGTTAAAGTGCAGGACTATTAACTGTCACATTAAAATCAGCTTCTGTACCAGATGACAAGAGGATAGCTAATGTGACACCAATTTTTAAAAAGGGCTCCAGAAGTGACCCTGGCAACTACAGGCCAGTAAGCCTCACTTCAGTACCAGGCAAATTGGTTGAAACTATCGTAAAGAACAAAATTGTCAGACACATAGATGAACATAATTTGTTGGGAAATAGTCAACATGGTTTTTGTAAAGGGAAATCATGCCTCACCAATCAACTAGAATTTTTTGAGGGGGTCAACAAGCATGTGGACAAAGGAGATCCAGTGGATATAGCGTATTTAGATTTTCAGAAAGCCTTTGACAAGGTCCCTCACCAAAGGCTCTTAAGCAAAATAAGCAGTCATGGGATAAGAGGGAAGGTTCTCTCATGGATTGGTAACTGGTTAAAAGATAGGAAACAAAGGGTATGAATAAATGGTCAGTTTTCAGAACGGAGAGAGGTAAATAGTGGTGTCCCCCGGGGATCTGTACTGGGCCCAGTCCTATTTAACATATTCATAAATGATCTGGAAAAAAGAGTAAACAGCGAGGTGGCAAAATTTGCAGACGATACAAAACTATTCAAGATAGTTATGTCCCAGGCAGACTGCGAAGAGTTACAAAAGGATCTCACAAAACTGGGTGACCGGGCAACAAAATGGCAGATGAAATGTAATGTTGATAAATGCAAAGTAATGCACATTGGAAAACATAATCCTAACTATACATATACAAGAATGGGGTCTAAATTAGCTGTTACCACTCAAGAAAGATCTTGGCGTCATTATGCCTAGTTCTCTGAAATCATCTTTAGTGTTATTTACTCCTTCTCATAATACAAGAAACAAGGGGCCATCAAATGAAATTAATAGGTAGCAGATTTAAAACAAACAAGAAAGTATTTTTTCACGCAACGCACTGTCAACCTCTGGAACTCCTTGCCAGAGGGTGTTGTGAAAGCCAATACTATAACAGGGTTGAAAAGGGAGCTAGATAGATTCATGGAAGATAGGTCCATCAATGGCTGTTAGCCAGGATGGGCAGAAATGGTGTCCCTAGCCTCTGGTTGCCAGAAGCTGGAATTGGGTGACAGGGCATGGATCACTTGATGATAACTTGTCTGTTCATTCCCTTTGGGGAACTTGTCATTGGCCACTGACAGAGGACAGGATACTGGGCTTGATGGACCTTTGGTCTAACCCAGTATGGCCATTCTTATGTTCCTAGGTGAATAAAGGTGCAGTGAAGTTAATGCAGGTTAGGGATTTCACTTCATATTCTTATATTTTGAAATTTTATAGGAAGGTCTGGATGTCAAAATAGACCAACTTAAAAGAATTACATCATGCCTTTTGGAGAAATAAAGCACATTTTAAAGAACTGCTCATGTATTCACAGGTTTTCAGAAGAATTCAGTAAGGCCAATGCTGAGTAGTTTTGAAAACCAGCCAGATCTTGACCAGACAGGACAACTGTCTTTGTCCTGTCCAAATACCAGCAAAGTTAACTAAATATACTATTTGTCAACTACATCAATGAGACTGTGCTATGGGGACAGCAAAAAACAAAACAAAAACAAAAAAAACACCCTACACTAGCTAGATGCCCTCAATAGCGCAGAATTCCTGAATAGGTAAATTTTATTAGTTTGTTACTGGCATTATTGCTTTGTTCTCTAGAAAAATTTCTTGCCAAGAATTTCCTTTCTGCTAGCAATGTCTCCCACAATTCTTGATGTCTGGCCTACTCTCCTCTCACTGCAGCTCATGGAGGCGGATCAGAGGTTTGGACCCACATGTTCTGGCCATGCCCCCTTAGCGCCTGCTTGCCTCCAGATGAGATATTCCCCAGCTGTAAAACTTTCATAACATTATTAACAAACATTCTAGAGATAACAAAATAACTATGTACATTAGACCAAGGAAGATGGTCTTATGGTAACAATTCTGCTTAATAGCTGACTCTTGACTCATGAGCCATCCATGGTGAATAGAATTTTGGGAGATGCTGCTAGCAGAAAGGAAATTATCAGTAAGACATTCTCCGTTCCGCATCCCAGCATCTCCCACAATTCCTGATGTCTGGGAAGTAGCGAGCAGTGAACAGATGTAGAGAGGGTTATAGAAAAGGGAAAACTGTATCCCTACCCATCCCTAAATATTTGCTCAAAGGCCAAAATCATATCCGGGCAAGCACCTACAACACTTTCCTGCTAAAGGATGCTTCTGCAGAGAATAGGATGTGCAGTGCATGGTAAAGGTGGCAGCATTTGACCTGGTGGACACCTTACAAATTTCCACTGTGAATTCATTACCTCTTTCTGCCTACCAGGTCATCAGGGATCACATGGAGTGTGCCCTGATTCCTTCTAGAACCAGAATCTCTGATGCCTGGTATGTTTCCACAAGGCACAGTCTAACCCACCAAGCAATAGAGGACTTGGAAGCTCTGAGTCTTTAGAATTTTGACTGAAAGGATATAAACAGAACACCTGATCTCCTTGTGGACACTGTACCTTTGAGGTAAATTTTCAGAGCCCTTTGGCCATCTAAGCTGTGCCACATCTCCTCAGTGAGATGCTGTGGCCTTAGACAGAATGAAGGTAGAATCACCTCTTGGGAAGAGTGGAAAGACCACCTCACCTTCAGGAAAAAATGATTTCTGAGTTCTGAACACCATCTGAACACCATCTTGTCCTCATGAAAAACGCAGTAAGATTCCTGCATAGAGCATGCTGACAGCTCCAACACTTGTCTGGCGGGCGCGATTGCTATCAGAAAGCAAGTTGTGATGGACAAATAAAATGCTGACAAATTGACGTCAAGGAAACCAAGGGACCGTTTGTCAGGGCTCTCAGTACAAGTGGCCCACTTGAGAGAAAAAAAAAGGTCTAATTGCTGGCTTGGATAATCTGATCGCCCTAAGCAATCTGTCTACCTGGGGATTCACTTCAGAAGAAGTGTTCTGATGGCTTTGGAGAATAATGAGACCACTGCTTCCCCTTCAATAACCAGGCTGTAAGATGCAGCCAATTTGGTTACAGATGAAGAAGAGGACCTTGCGAGAGGTTGTCTTGTCTCTTTGGGAGCTGAAGTGGTGGTCCCAATTTCAGCTCTCTCAGGTCCGAAAACCAGGGTCTCCTTGACCAATGGGGTGTTACCAATATTACTGTCACCTGTTCATTTTATTTTCTAGACCACCTTCCCTAATAATGAGAAGGGTGGAAATGCACAGAGGAGGCCCTGTGGCCATTTGTGGGATTGGGTATCTGTCCTCAGGGAAGCTGGGGTCGACCTCCCTAGTGAAGTACTTAAGTCTCTTTGGGTTTATGTGATTTGTGAATAGGCTGGTTGAGAGCAGACTGAATGACTGGACAATTAACTTGAAGACTTCCTGATTCATACACCATTTGGAGTTGTTCACCTTGTGCCTGTTGAGCCAGTCCACCTTCTGGTTCAGATCTCCCTTTATGTGAACTGCCCTGAGGGAGAGGAGAGAATGTTTTGCCCCCTGCATGATTTCCTTTGCTTCAGCATGTAGCACTGCCTTTCTTGCTAACACCTTGATCATATACATGTGTGACCATGATGGTGTTGTCTGACCTAATCAGTACTGGTTCCCCTCTAGGCTGGGCTGGAACATTTGTAGCACCAGCTTGACAGCTCTCAGTTCTAAAAGGCTTATGTTATAGGTCCCTTCCTCGAGGTTCCAGATGCCTGGAGCTGGTTGGGACCCCAAGTTTATTCCCCAGCCCTCCAGCCTGGCACTAGTTGTGAGGATCAGGGGAATCTGGAAGGCATATGAGTGCCCCTGCAGACACTGCCCTGGACTGACTACCATTTTAAGGAGTTGATCACCTGTGCCGGAACTTGATCTTTCAAGCATTCCGGGAAGTAGTACCATACATTTCAGATGAAGTGGTCGGAGACTCTTTGCTGAGGGGGACAGAGGCGCCCATCTGTCGCCCTGACATTTCATCTCGGGAGGTATGCTGCCTGCCGGGGGCCCATATCCGAAATGTTACGGAGGCATTGTCGAGGATTATCCAGCCCTCTGACTACTACCCCATGCTACTCATCCATGTGGGCACAAATGATACTGTGAGGTGTGACACTGAGCAGATCAAGATTGACTACAGGGCTCTGGGAGTATGGGTGAAGGAGTTTGGAGCGCAGGTGGTATTCTCTTCAATTCTTCCTGTCAAAAGGTAGAGGCCCT